TGATTTGCTTCTTCCTACGTAACCAGTGGTGAGATTCAGCCGGTTCGCACCTATCCGAGAGAACCGGTTGTTAACTTTCTAACCAGTTTGGAGAACCAATTGTTGGAAGAAATCTCATTTTGTTTTTTTCCACTTTACAAGGCTAATCCTGTATGGAAGGCAGGAAGGAAACATGGTGTTGTTGTTTCTAGCCTCATCTTTATCGCCCTGCTTACAGAAACTGCCTCTCTGGTTAACCCTTACTACATTGTAACAGCTAAGTGAAGTGCCCATCGATGTGAATGACATTGAGTTGGCCATGCCCTCCCAATCACATGACCACCGAACCATGCTTACCCAGCTGGTCATTAGGGCAGAGAACCGGTTGTTAAATTATTTGAATCCCACCACTGTGCGTAACGTATACTTTCTATCTCCAGAAAACAAGCTAAGGGAAAAAAACTTATCTAGGACAATGGACATGTTGATCCCAGAGGGAAAAGCCAGAGAACATTTCTCAGGAGAAAGAGAATCCAAACCATGTTGGTGAAGATGCCCAATCAACTTGGAATCTTCATGGATTGCCTTCTAGCCAAGATTTAAAAACCAACGTTTTTCTGATAAAGTATTTCACAAAAAGACTATATTCCAAGCACAGTTGGTTTAACCGTTTCTGGGTCCCACTCTACAAACATGGAAGGCGCACATTTGACCATCATCTCATTCCCATCCATTCGCAAGATATTGCCAATGGAACCAACAGTTTACATTCTCCGTCTGGTCTATTTTTAAGCTAAACCATCTCTCGGCATCCACAATGTTCAATGCACCCGGGAATCATCTCCAGAACTTCACATTTGGCCAAGAAACATTTCCACAACTTGAAGAACACGCAGGCTATTACTCAGAAGCACCAAAAGTGCATCAAGAAAACATTTCAGCAGTTTTGGAAGGATCACAACCACGAGGCATGGAACTTACACGCTCCCCAACAACCAACGTCCTTTTAACAAAAAGGCAAATCAGGGTGAAGCGCAAGATGGAACTCAACACAACTTTTCTTCTGGGCCATTTCTGCCCAACTCACTTCCTGCAACTTCTCTGCCCCTCTAATCCTCTTTTCCCCCCACAACCGTTTGACCCAAAAGCACCACCAGAGCCTCATCCCAACTCATTTGGCGCCACCCTAACTTTGGAACGCGCATCAAGAGCCACACTTACATCTCGAAGCTCCTTGGCCACCTCCTTGAGTTCTTGCAGAATGCCTTCCAGCTGCCCAATCACCATTTTCATGCGCCCTCGGATGCGCTCCTTCTCACCGGTGTTGGGGCCGTCGGTTGTGTTGTTAGTGGGCTTCCTATCCTGCGAATCCCGGTTGTTCATTCTTCACAGGGTGCCGGGGAGCTGGGGCAGAGTTGCGTGGGACATTCTGCTGTTGCCCGACCAGATTGTGCCTCCACAGAGCCTCTCTTGGTTGGGGAGATCTCCACATCTTAACGCTGCCCCCTGCCCAGAAAGTCCCAGCAGGGCACTCACTTCCTATCCTTTGTTCTCTCTGGGGTAACTGGAAGGGGCCCACGAAGCCAGAGAGAAGGGAATGGGATCGAGGGAACGATGAATCCAAGACACATGCTTCTCCTCCAACTTGGCCACCAGCCCATCTAGGTAGCCAAAGTTCGGAATCACCATCGGTCCACCGACCTGTTTTTTTTTTGGGGGGGGGGAGAATGCCACAGACCACGAGCTTAGAAAAGGTGAAGGTGTGTTATTTGTGCTCTGCTCTCCGGAGAGATGCCAGTGATCCTTGCCAGTCTCTATGCCACGTTCTCCTTCCCGACAGAGAGGGCATCTCCTCCAGCTAGTTCATCATCACGGCTCTTGGGGAGAATCCCTGGGAGATCTCGGGTCTCGATTCCTTTCTCAGGGTCTTCTCCACCTCCGCTGACCAGGAGTCTTCGGCATGGGTAGCTCGGTTCGACTTCCATCCGTACAGCTAAGGGGTTTCATGCAGCAATCCCAGCCCGGCCAGGCTTTGGAGGTGTCTCGTTGAGATCTTAGGGAGCTCCTTAAAAATGAGGAGGCTTAGCCTTCAGAGGGGGCATCGGGGAGTTGCTGGAAGCACGGAAGTATTGCACACCATTTCCTGCAGTGTGAGAGAAAGAGAGAGAGTGGGGAGGAAGGGAGGGGAAATTAGCATGATCAGGAACGGATTTGGGGAGAACACCAGCAGCCTTCCAAGTCACTGAACTTCAACTCAACTGGGTGTTCCCATGGTGACTCCTGGTTCTTCTTCCCAGAAGAATCACCTTCTGCTCACCCAAAAAAAGCCACCCATTGGGGGAGGGGAGGGGTTCAGCTCTGTGTTTTAAGGCAGAAAGGCTCCTGCAATGGGGGGGGTCTCCTTCTTTGGGTCCTCCCTCCTACAGGAAGCCCTCTTCCCTAAGAGCCTTCTCAAGGTGATCCACCTGGAATGGGAAACCCTGAGCTGCACATGAAAACACTCAGCCACCCCCCAACCTGTGAGCGTGCCGATTTCTACACATCTTCCGATTGAAACTTTTAGACAACCCCCCCATCTGTTCCTTTGGGCCCCCCCTGACCCAGCAGAGGTCCTGTGGATCCAACCAATTTTATTTTTGAAGTCCAAGAAACAACCAGCTCCCCTTTTCCTCCACGAAGACAACTGAAAAGTGGCAACTTACACCCACAGCAGCTGGTGGGGGACGCACTTTTATCCGACGTGGATTTCTCGCTCGTCCTTCCAGCAACACTCTGGGAGGCCAACCAGGTTCTCAAGTCCCATTCCTGTTCTCCAAGACCAAGCGACCGACCGTGGGCATTGGCGGCGAGGCATCCGATACATCCGACGGAACAAAAAAATTAGGAGATTTAAAGAAAAAAGAGAGAGAGAGAGCACGCCACAACCCTCACCCACACAGTTTCCTCCGGTTAAACCTTTTGGCTCTTGAAGACAGCTCTGAATTATTGCTTTCTGGTTTCCTTTAAGCCAGGAGGGGAAGAGGTGAAGAATTCTGCCCTGCTTCTTGCAAAGAGTAAATTGAATCCCATTCAGAAACTCTGGCTTTGCAGCCTTGCCATCTGCAGAGCAGAAGGGTGCGATGCCATCCCTTCAGCGGCCCCAGGCCTGGAGCCCACAGGTGACCATGATTCCCAGCTTAGGGGGCGAGAGGGTCTCGGAACCCCGTTCCTGTGTCCTTAAAGGCGTCGGAGGCCAAGGGTCAGCAACTGGAGGCAACTTGGAAGGGCCAAGCGAGGGATGGAGGAACGGAGAAGACGGATGCTTCTGCTGGAGACCTCAATGGATGCTCTTGGAGACCACGGCTGGCATGATGGTAAGAAGGAGAAGGAGGAGGGCTTCGGGCAAAGCTTTAGAGAGAGAGACAGAGCAGGGGGGGAGGCAGAGAAAGAGAGAGGGAGAGAGGGAGAAAGAGAGAGAGAGAAAGAGATAGGGAACACACGTCTTCTTTAAAGCTCCCAGACTTTGAGTGACGGCAGGCAAGTCCCAGCGTCCAGATTCCGATGATGCTCTCGGAGGGCCAGCTAGAAGGCAAAGAAGCAGACGCCGACCACTTTCGCCCCGGTTCTCTTCCCACTGGGGTCTCCTGAGGTCCTCCGGAGCCTCTTGCATCGGCCGCAGCTGCCCGACACCCCTCCTCCTCCTCCTCCTCCTCCTCTCCTCCTGCTAGCGAGCGGTGGAAAAAACTGCACTGGAGGCTTCCCCCTCCCTCCTGACATCCTCACCGTCTGCCAGCTTGGAAGGGATTGCTCAGCTCCCAGATGCTAAGCTGGTGCTGTGTCAGAAAGAAAGAGGCAGGCCTTTTGGCAGAACAGGGGGATTTAAAGGGCCAGAGAGCCTCCTGCATCCCAGCTGTTAGCTGCAAGCAGAGGAAGCCTCTCCCCCCCCCCACTTCCTTCCCCCAACCTTCCCCGTTTTTTTTATTATTATTTAAAAGCCAATTACAAAGGTAGCTAAGAAAGGTACAGCTGGGATAGATCTCTGGCTAACGGGATGCATGCTAGTAGCATTGTAGAACTGCAGAAGCCAAGGGGGGGGGGAAGGAGGGTCTTGGAGAGCATCTAGTCCAGCCCCCTTGCTCAGGGTGGGAGTCCACTTCATGTAGCTTCTTCCTTAGAGCTGGGGTCCACAACTGTTCATAATTATTGGCCTTCTCTCTCTCTCTCTCTCTCTCTCTCTCTCTCTCTCCCCCCTATCTATATCTATNGGACGCCGCCAGCCCCGTTCCAACCGAACTGGTTGGAACGGGGCAAGAAACCCACCGCTGGTGGCAAGCCACTCCCACAAAGGAGGCCACACCCACAGAGTAGGTTCGAACAATTTTTGAAAGCCACCACTGGGAGGGAGGGAGAGCGGTGTTGAAATGCGTGGAAACTCGTCAAGGAGAGAAGCGGCCTAGAAGTGAGGAGAAGCTTCCGGATGAGTGAGAACGATGAACCGGTGGAACGACTCGCCACCAGAAGTGGTGGGTGCTCCTCCAACATTGAAGACTGAGGAGAGATTTGTCCAAAATGGCATAAGGCAGTGACGCCTAACCTTTGTGTCGTCGCGGGCTCACACCCGTAATTCAATGCACGCACAACAAAACACCCCCCGCCACGTGTGCCCCGCCGCCTGTGCATGCGACTCCCGCCCCCTGCACGCCCCCGACGCCCACACATGCGCGCATGACTACCCTGCAACCTGTTTTGGGCCTAGTAGGCCTCCCTGCAGCCTCCGGGGAGCGCTTAACTGCCTTTTTCGCTGAACAACAGAGATTCGGGATTTAATTTAGGTCGTAGGTCGAGAACTGTCTGTAACCGTGGAGAACTCTCGAAGAACCAAGAAAAAAGAGTGCCAAGTACCAGTTGGGAAGAAAAAGCAATTGAAGAGGAAAAAGAAAAACGAGGATCCTGGATAAGAGGCGGTTTGTCTATTGCAATATTATCCAGCCACCAAACCAGGTTTAATGTAAATAGATCAGGGGGTCGGCAACCTTAAACACTCGAAGAAGCATTTGGACCTTTTTCCCACAGAAAAGAAAACACCAGTAGCCACAAAACCCATCCCGTGCCTGATTATTTCCTGAGCGGCCACAAAACTAATATATGTAGTTAAATTAAACATTCTGTTTCCTTCTGAAACTTTCCTTTTCTTGGATTTATCCATGGTTGGACTACCGGGGATCGAAAAGCTCAATAAATCGCGTGCCGGTGGGTATCACACACTGGCAGTTGTGACGCATATTTTGAGCGACCAGGAGCCGCAACAGAGGGATGAATGAGCCGCATACGGCGCCAGAGCCGCGGTTGGCTCCCCCCCTGAAATAGATGGATGGTCCAAGGGGAAGCCAGCAGGGAAGGTCGCACAAATGGCCATTGTGTGATGTCCTGCTTAACAATCACACTAATAAAAGGACTTAAAATCCGTTGCGATCGCATGATGCTTTAAATAGCAGCCGCACCGCTTAAACAATCCATTTTCTGGCCTCAATCAGCATTGTAAACTGTACAGAGCTGTCTGTACCGCAATATGGAAACGTATTTATTCATTTGTTCCTAAATGAAAAACCCAAAAAATGACATGCGTGATGAAAGCTACCACAATATGTTAACAAACGTATTTGTTTATTTGCTCCTGGATCCAAATTTAAAAACAAAAAAACCCCAAAACTTCCAAACAATGAAAGAGAGTTGAAGTCATCCTGACAGATTTTCCCCGCTGTAAATTAGATCAGTGTCTGGTGATTATTTAAAATAGCTCCGTTTATTATTTCTTGAAGGTATTGATTTTGGATACCAGCGCAAGAGAGAGAGGGAGAGAGAGAGACAGAAATTCTATTTTTGTAACACAGCCCCAGCGAATTTTCCTAAGGAGCTTCTAATCTGAGGCGCATTAAAAAAAAAAAGAAGGAACATTGAAAAAATAGCAATAGCAGTTAGACTTATATACCTCTTCATAAGGCTTTCAGCCCTCTCTAAGCGGTTTACAGAGT